CGTTATCTAAGCACTTAACAAAGTTCAATCTAATATATGAATAGCCTAGGGCCTGTTTTATACCATTTGAAGGTCATTCTTAAAGTAACAAAGGGCGTCCATACTTATTAAAGGATCTGAAAATCTTTGTCCATTCTACATACATTGTTTCATACAGAACACGAATCCTATGTACAAGAACATTAACCTTGGCAAGTATATGAGTTTCTTTCCCAAAAATTGGTTTATAACGTAGGAGAAATTTAGATATAAAGATAAGCGGCCGAAACAAAGCCGAAACAAACTTCCTAAATCAGGATTTTCTACATCCAAATAAGAACAGCCATATAGCATGACTTTCACCAGATTAAATTACACATGATCTATTGTAAATCAATCGACAAGCATCAATCCGAAATCTACTATAGATCGATTGCAAACGAATGATTTAACCGGGGGAAAATAGAAGTTAACAGGGGAAGAAGATGGACGGGCACTACAGCAGCTGTTAACGCAATAGCGAGTTAGGAACTGATTTACTGTATATCAATCGACCAGCAACAATACAAAATCTACTGTAAATCGATTGCATGGAACTGATTTACTGTAAATCGATTGGAAGAAGAGAAGTTAACACTGCCATTGACGCACTATAAATCGATTTGAACTGATCTACTATAGATCGATTGTAAAATCAAAGAAAAGAGAATTTACCTGGGAAGAAGATGGGAACTGTTGTTGATGCACTGTAAATCGCACAGGCGTTGCCGCACTGGCGTTGACACAGCAGCGAGTTAGGGCTTTTTGGCAGCGAAGTCAATTCAACTGGGGAGGGAAACGATACAATGTTTTCGTTCTATTGTTTTCTAATTGGGGTGGGAAACGATAAAAGGTATCCAAAAAAATTGGAGGGAAAGATTTTCTCTTCTTTGTGCGGAGGGAAAGTTAAAATAATAAAAGATTGATTTCAATTAGTAATTTTTAGTGGCTATTATTTTTTATTGCCTGTAAAAGGATATCTTTTACTGGCTAATGGTCATATGCCATTAATATTTAAGCTTAAATAATTTATTAGCGACCATTGCCTTATTGCCGCTAAATAATTGCCGCCAAAGGACTTTTTTGTAGTAGTGAAAACCCTAAGCGGAAAAGATAAAGAATTTTGAAAGCAGAGTTTTAAAAGAAACTTCGAGAAAAACATTTAGAAATTCAAAGCAAACATAGACCTTAAGCAGATCTAAAAGAAATCGAAAGAACCTTAGAACTTAGGGTTTCAGAAGGACCCCAAATGATGAGAAAGGCCATGAAAGCCATTGATCTAAGCAGGAGAGTCAAAGGTCTGAATCAAATAGCCATGGCTGGCCGGAGAAATGCCACAGATGACTGGAGAACAGCCAGGAACTAAAATCGAACAAAGACTGGACAAGAGTTCTTCATGGTCTGGCCTTGAAACCATAAGAACAAACATAAAGGATCCATGGAAGGCCGGCATAAGTCTCCGATGACCTTGGAAGACCATAGGTTAGGGCGGAGTGAGGTAGCGGCGACTAGGGTTTGAGGGTGGTGTAGAGAGGATTTGAGAGACGAGGGGAATTCAGAGGCGGCGGATTAGTGTCACGACCCAAAAATCTCTCCGAAGGAGTCGTGATGGCACCTAGTCTCTAAACTAGGTAAGCCTAATATAAACTGAAATAACATTGATGCTTACTAACTTTAAATTAACCAACTCTGAATAATTCAAAATTTCCCAAAACCGGTGGTACAATCATACACTGCTCCTCACAACTCAAATGCCCGAAGCAGTAACATCTTACCACCATAGCTGTTCAAATAACACTCTGGGTGCCGGCAACACACCTCACATTGAATATAACCTTATTCCGGACCTCCACATCACTGTCCATGATAAAGAAACATGCGGGAACTCATAGCCGCCTATGAAGTCAACAAGTCACGAAACCCTCTCGCCCGCCAGGGCCATTATCCAAATCTTAGCAGAAATACCCACATACTTCCAAACGCTCCTCACCCCCAATACCATAGTACCACTCTCAGGTCTAAGAACCACATCTCGACCAATACCAGTAGCCCAACTGATGACTCACCATGGAAACACACGAATTCTCACACTACACAGCTCGTACATTGAACCAGCAAGAACTCAATTACGTAACACAGGTAAGGAAAAGCAAAGTGGAAGAATTTTCCAACAAGTGTAACATGTGCAACAACGAAAATATAGTTTTCATCAAATTGTTCCACAGAGGAAAAGTAGAACCCCAAATAAACACAAGGAAAAGGTATCTCATATAACATCCAATGTGGCGTGCAGCCCGCTCCCAAATACTTATCAAGCCAGTATACCACATAACATCTGCTGCGGCGTGCAGCCCGCTCCCAAATACTTGTCGAGCCAAAAATGCTCGGGCTCACTGATCATATGAATACTGATATCAAGTACAACATAGTGTACAAATAAAACTGTGGGAAAAAGTGAATAGAAGTAATAAGACATAAAAGAAACAAGTACCGCTGAGGTGCAATGAGCAATTAACATCATGAGGGTTATCTCACCCACATCGCCATAAGGCCTGAACAGAATTACAATATGAAAGAGGAATAATCATAAAATTTCACCGCGTGGCATAACATAAAAGAGTAGCACATAACATAGGCTAGGGGCACAAATAATACCCATCCTGCCTGGTAACCTAATCAAAATGACAACCTCATAGGAGCAGACAAACTGAACCTGATACAAACACATATTTTTGTTGATCTTCCAAATAGGCCCAAACCAAATCCGGATCCTTCCCAATTAGGTAAATATTCCTTGACAATCAACGGTAGCCTATCGATAATACATGCAATTAGTTACCCATTTCTCAACATTTCTTCACAATCCGCTAGTAAGAAATGGCCCACATACGGGGACACCTAGTCCCAAAACCTCAGGAATACTAAAAATCCCACACCCGGACTCAACTATGCAGATCAAATGGCTGATACATCACTCACCTTCCATCATCCTATTTAAGCACCCATATAAGATTCCGGCTGCACAACAAAACATGAACCTCGAAAGCCTCAAAATCCAGTAATCGCCATGCTATTAGCCACGCACCCGCAAACCGAAACTCAAGGTCCTTTCCAAAATACACACTCTTCACATATGATAGCCAGTAATTCCAACACTCTATTAATTTCGGATATTGATTCAAGAGAAAACTGTAATGTACCATATATTCTTTATGCCCATAAAAGACACCCAACTCAAGCCGTAGTCAAACTATCAAGAACCCTCCGAGATCTGCCCGCACGCAACTAAGTCATCGGGACTGCACCTCTCCAACTCGACCGAGTCACGCAAACCGTCAAATACAAGAGTGATGTCACAAATGCCAGTAGAGAATTCCCATTCAAAAGGACCATTTACTTCCATTGCTATGTTGACCCAACACTACTGAACTGACTCATTTCTTCGAATAGTCGATATGCAACAATCCCAATCAAAGTCCCAAATACAGATGATCCTAACACGAACCACGTAGCCAGAAGCTCATAAACCACTGCATTTCCTCTGAAGCACCCCGTCCTGCCGCAACCACGGCACCTAAGCTGCATAGACCTCCTATGAATCTGAAGTTGTTCCTCCAACTCCCCTTGATGTTGAAATGTAGATCTATTTTTGACGTAGAAATATTGCAAGCACCAATATCATCTTATGCAAAATATCGATCCTTGGTCAAATGCAAAATCCAGGAATCCAACAATATCGCATATATACATGCCTCCAGCCCAAATTGATATAAGTCTGACTCTGCAACCTGAATGCCACTATTGGACTCCTCCACTTGGCGCAAAGCCATGGGAAACAACGTCTGACAATCCACAAAACTATTCTCCATAGCTCGCACAACACAAATCACAAGGTACTCCAATACACTAACTACTCCCAATCAACACCCACCTTGTGAACTTGCCAAAATTGCGACGACTAGTCAACCAATTAAACCTTCCCAGCTCGCACTCATCAACCAGATGTCGGAAACCGCCGCGCCTCCATACGATCAACTGAATAGTCTCTCAATACCTCTGGGTCTTCAGTTTGAACAACATGTTGAGACAATGCCTGAGCATCCCTGACTCCTTCGTAGCCTATTTGTAGCATCACAAACCACTGGCGCATGGCGAACGCTGAGAGCATAATGTTATACACGAGTGGATGTAAAGGAACATAAGTTATATACTTCAAGCTGAATCGATATCGCACGATAAGGAATGAAAGAAGGGGAATCTCCTAACAGTTATGTAGCCTCTCGAAGATAAGTACCGACGTCTCCGTACCGATCCGTAAGACTCTACTAAACCTGCTTGTGACTCATAGCACCCATGAACCTAGAGCTCTGATACCAACTTGTCACGACCCAAAAATCCCTCCGAAGGAGCCGTGATGGCACCTAGTCTCTAAACTAGGTAAGCCTAACATAAACTGAAATAAAATTAATGCTTACTAACTTTAAATTAACCAACTTTGAATAATTCAAAATTTCCCAAAACCGGTGGTACAAATTCATAGAGGAACTCACAATCAAGAAATATCGAAACAATAAGGAAGGCGATCACTTCAATTACGACAATTAAAGGTCAACGCAACACGTAGGGATTCAAGGAAGGCTAGCAATATCATATGGAGCATATAGAGACAATTTAAGCAATCATTAAACTCAATCATAACGGAATACTCTCCACATTTGAACATAAGGACCTAAGAACCCTAGAGCATATTTTCCACAAAGAAGTCTGAGCACACACTCGTCACCTCGCATGCACGGGCTACAATTAGCATAGAAGACTCAATTCCTAAGGGGAAGTCCCCCACACAAGGTTAGGCAAGATACTTACCTCAAAGGCGACAAACCGATACTGTAAAATGCACTTCTCGGGTGAAAAGACCTCCGGACAGCTCAAATCCAACCAAACTAACTGAAATGGTAATGACCCAATCCATGTTTGACACCTCACTTAAACTCCCCGGTATAGCTGCTTCCATCTTCACAAGTATGAACTCCAGAACCATGACACTGTCCATTACACCACTCCCCAGCATACAAATCCCCTGTATAAGACCTATACATCCCAACTCCATGTCTCAATCCTTGCTTATATTGCCCTCTATACCAACTCCCTTTCGTCCATGTTTCAACCCCGTATCCATCATACTTTCCATCTATCCAATCACCCCCATACCTCTCACTCAAATGATAGTAATGAACCCCACTTCTTGAACATTTTCCTTTATGAAACTCACCCTCATAAACATCACCATTGCTGTAAACATGCACCCTACAACCCGAAATAGGCTTCCTTTCCGGTTTAGGCTTTGACCCTATTGACCAAACAACTGAAGGTGTATTCTTTGAGGCAGTAGGTGATGATTGAAGATTAATAGACAAAGTTCTAGCAAGAAATGTACGGATAGAAGGAACACAAGGGAGAGTTACACAAAGTGAAATCACAAGAAAAGCTAGTATTATAGCGGTAATAATAAAAAGAAAGTAAAGAAAGAACCCCAATAATGAGTTGAAGTCAACAAGTAAAGTGAAGGCAAAGAAAGCAAAATAAAAGGCTTCAAATGAACTCTTATCCAAGAAACATGACAAGGGGAAAATAAATCAATTTAAATCTTTGAAAATTATGAAAAAATAATAAAATACTTGGATATACCTATAGATGCATATATATGATGTTTTGAAAGTATTTTGCATATTGAAAAATATATAGGAAAAAATTGGGTGTCAACAACGAGGTGCCCAGTTAACGAAGACTATCATTATTTACCATTCAGGAAGGGAAATATAAGCATTTGAGTTACCTTCAACGATAGTAGAGGTATGTACAATTGGCCACACTCATCTCATTTATGCCCTATGGAAGCTAACAGAAGTAGTATAAGAGAGGGACGGATATCAGGATCTGGCTGGGGTTAGAGTGACCCAAAAGGATGGATGAAATATTTGCGTTAGTTGACATTTCTAAAGGATATCGCGAATGTGGTAATAGATCTACTTGTGATACACCCAGATGGTGCATTCTAAAATAGTATAGCTAGATATGAGTACTACAAAGATAGGCACTGAAGCCTTGAAGGGATAAATATTATCTTAGTGTGGCTCCCGTCCCGAGTAGAGAGAGAATGTTAGGTAGCCCGAAGAGCCAGTGGATGAGCAAGGGCAGCTAAAAGCAAAACAATGTCTTGTTGAAGTTTTCATAATAAAGTGATGGACAAAAATGTTAGCAGGGAAATAAGAAGATAGTTAATGAAGCATGTTGATACCCAATTTTTCCCTGTATATTTTTAATATGCAAAATACTTTGAAAATAGCATATGTACGCATATATAAGCATGTCCAAATGTTTTATTATTTTTCCTTAATATTTAAAGATTTTTAAACCAATTTATTCCCCTATTTTTATTCATAAAAAAAACAATAATAATTCCCAAAATTATTATTTTGGTGATTCATTTATTGGATTCTCATATTAATAAAAAAATATAGCTAATATATTTTTTGCATATTTTTACGAATTTATTTAGTATTTTTGAAGCTAAATTGCATATAATTGCAATATTAGCCCTTTTTAAGATTTAATTGCGTTTATATTTATAAAAATTAAGTCCAGTATTCTCAAATTGATAATTATATGTTATTAGTCATTTTAGTGCCTTTAATTTACTTCCAGAAATTATTTATTATTTTTTATAAAATAAATAGGGAAAAATGGCTATTTAAATGATAGCCCATTTGCATTTCATTTTTAGCCGGATTTGGACCTCTGATTAAACCCAATTCCTAAACCCAATCACCCAACCCAATTACCTAATATACCCGACCCATGACCCTTCTAAACAACCCGCCCGGATTCCCCATTCAATCCAGGTCGTTGATCAAAATGATCAACGACCACCTTTTAATCTTTCCTTTTTTAATTTTCCCTTAGCCCCCAAACCCTAGTCATTTTGCATTTTGAAACCCCCCTTTCTCTCAATTCTCTCTCAAAGCTTCTCAAACCCTAGCCGCCTCCCTCCACTTCCACCCTAAAATCACCGGAATCCATGGCTTCCAAGGCCATTGAAGTCCTATACCGGTCTCCCATAACTCCTAAACGCCTGGTTACTGTGGTTTCAAGGCCTGACCATGAGGAAGCTTGGCCCAAACTTTGTTTGATTCGAGTTCTATGGCCGTCTCCGACCATGCTCCGGCCAGCCCTGGTCATTCGAGCTTGATCTCGACTTCTCCGGCTCAGATCAATGACTTTCCAAGCCTTTCTCATCACCTGGGTTCTACTAAAATCCTAACCCTTCGAGGTTTTTCCGATTCTTTTAGATCCATTGTATATGAGTGTTTTCTCTAAGCTTTTAAACATTTTCACAAAGTTCTTTCAAAACTATACCTTTAGAGCCTTCATCTTTTTCCGATTTAGGGTTTCGTTAAGTTATCCTTTAAAGTTTCTTTGATCTTTAGCATGTTCTACTGTGTTTCGCATGTGTGTCTTTTACTGTGTTTCTTATAAGTTCCTTCTACTGTATTTCCAATGTGTTTCTTCTACTATATTTCTTATGTGTTCTTCTACTGTGTTTCTTATGATTGTTTTTCTACTGGAAAATGCATGTTAAAAGTCTCAGTTCCTTTCTGAGATTTCTGAACTTATTTCGTTAGTATTGTTGCCTTGATTACTTGTCTTTTCATCTCTACACTCGATTGATGGCAGAATCCTAAAATTTGGGGCTTCATCCGAGTATTAAGACTATTCGCTATGTGATTTGCTTGTTCTTTATCTTTGAACTTGTTTTATTTCAAAACCCTAACTTCTTTGGACCTATTCGAGTTTCTGAAGATTGTTTCATCTACTGCTCGATTGAGTTTCGAAATCTTTGTTTCAACCTTTGTTTCTTTATATGATTCTGATTTCCTGCTAAACTCTTCTAGGGTCTTTCTACTGGACCCTCTGCATGCTATTTGATACTCTCCCTCCTCTTTGTCACTAAGATGACTACCATGTTCTTATAGTTCACTACTTACTAATTTTTGTGATTGCATGACGCTTTTTCTTTGTCCTAAA